TTCCTCTCTGTAAAAAAAACAATAAAATATATTTAAAAAAAATATTTAGGGCAAATGATAGTAATGTGTTTTTGGAATGAATAGCATATTGTCTCCATTATTGAAAAAGTTTTTTCCTAGGGAATTTTGAACTTTTTCTCCACTGTCAAGCCCAGCGGTGTATGTTTACCTGTTGGAGGTGTTCCTGGGCTGGTGGTGCTATCACCAATGGTTAGAACTGTTTCAAAGTTTCCTGTACTGACTCGATTCTTGACAGGCATTTACCTTAACCCCCGCTATGAAAAGGGAATGATAATAGTAATATCTCATAAGATAATTAAATGAGATAATACATACAAAAGGCTTAGCATAGTCCCTAGCATACGTTAATTGCTTGATCCATTTTCTGATCTATGTTATAATATATACTTTTTTAAATTTCAAGAATAGTATGTAAAGTAACGGACAGATCTCAGAGGGGAGGAAGGTGGAAGGGTCCTGGAAGGGGTTAATCAAAGAATACATAGGTACATATACAGAGCCCAAGGAGACAAACAGTAATAATGGTAACAGCCTGGGGTGGGGTGGGGACTGGGTGGAGGGGGGAAAATGGGGGACATCTATAATACTGTCAACTATAAAAAAATAAAAGCAGAACAGTTAAAAAAAATAGACTACTACATCAGCCCATGGGGCAAAAACCTTTGACCTGCTATGGAAATAAACTAAACTCTCTCACAGGGAAGTGTCTGTTTATGTCAGGACTGAGCGAGGTCCAACTGAACCATATGGACGATCACACTTTGCCAGGAAAGTATGGTATTGGATTTACCAATATGGTGGAAAGGACAACCCCAGGCAGCAAGGACCTTTCCAGGTAATTACATGACATTCATTTTTACCGGCTGAACCGCGGCCGTGCTGGTGCCTCATACACTCTAGGATCACCATACTTTTCTAGTTCAGGCTGAGCTTGGCACACAGTATGTGAATTGATCTTTTTTTTGAAAGCTATCTGAATTTAGTATAAATATTGCCCTACTTATATCATGACGACTTTTTAATTTAATTTTAGTAAAGAATTTCGTGAAGGAGGACGAATTCTAGTGCAGAAATTACAGAAATATCAGCCACGAATAGCAGTGTTTAATGGAAAATGTAAGGTTTGCTTTTAAATTTTATCTTTTTTTTTCTTTGCTACATCATGGACAATGTAAATACGTTTGCATTTCATTTCAGGCATTTATGAAATTTTTAGTAAAGAAGTTTTTGGAGTAAAGGTTAAGAACTTAGAATTTGGACTTCAACCCCACAAGATCCCAGACACAGAAACTGTAAGTCCTTAAAATTATATTTGCAGATCAGCTCAATGCGGATTTTTTTCTTTCAGCTAGTTGACCTTTTTTTATTTGTTCTACGCATTGCCATGTATGCTACGCAAAGAAATGCACAACCACTTTGATTGGTTTTGCATATACTGCTGAAGTAATGAATCCAAAGAAAGACGCGTCTTCTATCTCCCTAGGAGTGGATTGAACAGATTGCTATAACTGTCACATTTTATGATTCCAGCTCTGCTATGTGATGCCGTCATCCAGTGCGAGGTGTGCTCAGTTTCCCCGAGCCCAGGACAAAGTTCATTACTACATTAAGCTGAAGGACTTACGAGATCAGTTGAAAGGCATTGAACGGAACACAGATGTTCAGGAAGTTCAGTATACATTTGACCTGCAGCTTGCCCAAGGTGTGTCCTCGTTATTGCTCCTTGTTTTCATTTCATGTCTGCGTACACTCCAGAAAGCATGTTGTGGATTTAAAAGCAGGAGAGGAGAAAGCGGTTATATTTACAGCCAGAATGCTCTGATAATGGCTGTTAGTCACTGTTAGAATCTCATTTTACTAAGGTCTTCCACATACTCTGGGGCTTTTACAGATGTTGAGGATAGAAAAAACATTGTAACCCACTCAAAATTAAATTTAGGCTGTAACAGTTCTTATGAGTTAATATAGTATATGTTATGAAGAATGCAAAAGCTTATACTTAGCAAAAGATGTATCTCAGTATACATGAACATTCAAGAAAGATTTCTTCCTCATGCTTTCTGAATAGAGCTATCTTTTAAGAGCGTTGTACAAAATCAGCTTTAAATCTCCTCCACTCTCCCCACAGAGGATGCAAAGAAGATGGCTGTTAAGGAAGAAAAATATGATCCGGGTTATGACGCAGCATATGGCGGTGCTTATGGTGCAAACCCATGCAATGGTGAACCTTGCAGCTTCCCTTCAAATGGGCTGAGTATGTCCTCTCCCTATGTTTGTTCTTTCAGAGACTTGCTTTTGTCAGGATTGGGGGCAGGGAAGTTCTTTTAAAAAGAGCAAATTATTGAATGGGAATTATTTAAAAAAAAAAAAATCTGGTTATTCATAGAGAAAATATGATGGTTATTTAATGTTTACGCAAACATACAGGCCCCTTTGCTTTAAGTCACTAACTACAGTAAGTCATCATAGTTGCATTTTTCTCCTTGAATAACAAATGAGGATTTATTAGTCTGGTATCTGAAAATAGAACAGAAATATACTGTATTCAAGAAGCTTGCTTGCCCTAGCTGGTTTGGCTCAGTGGATAGAGTGTCGGTCTGTGGACTGACGGGTCCCGGGTTCCATCCCAGTCAAGGGCATGTGCCTGGGTTGTGGGCTCAATCCTCAATAGGGGGCATGCAAGAGACAGCCATCAAAGATTCTCTCTCTTCATTGATGTTTCTATCTCTCTTTCCCTCTCCCTTCCTCTCTGAAATCAATAATATGTGTATACACACACACATATGTATGGATATATGTATACATATATATTTTTTAAAAAGAAGAGGAAGATGCTTGCTTAACTATTTTAATAACAGTTCTCATTCACTGGACAGTTAAAATCCCCTAATTTGATCATTTAGAGCTTTTAAATGTAAGAAACTAACGTTCTCCCTCTCCGCCTCCTCCCCGCCAGCGGCTGACTGTGGAGAACTGCCATTCAGTGACGTTCCCAACGGGCAGTGGATGAGCCAGTCGTTTACGGACCAGATTCCTTCCTTCAGCAATCACTGTGGGATGCAAGAACAGGAGGGAGGAAGCCTTGCTTAGGCATGGTGCTTCTCAGCCCTGCTCAGATGCTGCAGTTCTATTGCAGTGGTCAAGGAGTGGCCCTCCGTTTGCTAACCGAAGTATTTTATTAGTGCTTTCCTCTGGTGATGTAACCATAGTACAGTTGTGTGGTAGAATCAACTGTATGAACCTAGGTAGTTTGGAAGGAACATTTAGGGTTTTTTTGTACATGAGTTTTTGTATTTGAATGACCCATCATTCCAGCATTTTATAAAAGCTTTTTCATTTAGGAAGAAACAGATTTTCTTTTGGGAGTCACTTTTAAACTGTAATTTAAAAAAAAAAAATTGCAACAGTCTGAATATTTATATTTGATTATTCGCTGTGCGTAAACCTAGAAACACCATTATCCCTTTTATGCCTAAGAAGGGCATGCGATGCTGTTAGTAAGAATCGCCACTGGTAAAGAGGCGGATGTGTTGATTTTCACCTGAAGTTACGCCTCTGGGGTTGGGTTCACACTCAGACCTCTTTACCAGCAGCGATCGTTTGTGAGTGTTGCTTTCTAATGCAAACATAGAGTGTGGCCTTGCAGCCGCAAGACCAGCCTGGCCTTAGGTGACAGGGCATTCAACCCTGGCTCTGGCCTCCTCGCCCTGAGTGCTAATTCTCTCATAGGCAGAAGCTATTCTGCTGGGATGGTGGGCTCCAGGGAATGCAGTAGACCTTTTAAATGTTGTTACTTCACCTGTGTTTTACTTGAGAGATATACCCTCGATAGGGAAGGAACTGAATTTCCCTTTCAAGACCTATCCCCATTCGAATTTTATCTTCCTCGGCTTTCGGGGTGTCATGTGGCAAGTGATGAGAAATGAACTTTCAGGATGAGTGGCAGGATGCTGGAGGTGTTTGGTCACCTTTTTTAAACCGGTGCTTTACGTACATGAGATGTACTACTATAATTAAGACAAGTTTTCTTGCTGGTTAAATCTCGCAAGCCAGTAACTTACAAGCTTCTTTCTCTGCATCGTTGTTCTTTGTTACTGTGGACTGAGTTAACCTTACACAAGGTTAGTTTTTAAGTAATGTACCTTTGTGGTTTTCTAATGCATTTTCCAAGGTGCTACAAACAGCCCAGACTCTAGGCCTGGCAGGTGCAAACCGGGGTGTTTGGAAACGCTATCTGCATCTCCCCTTGATCACTTACACCCTCGGAGCATGCTTTTCAATATGAAAATATTTGTCAACAGGTGTTGTTTTTCTAAAAGGTTATATGCCCTATTCTTTTTTTATAGTAAGAGAAACAAATCCTTGTTGTGAATCTTAACATGCTGTTTAGCTGCTGGCTGTGATGGATTTTATTTTTCCTTTGGTCTGGATCAAGCTGTGTAAGAGTCACTCATGTTATTTAAATCATGTACTGTACTGCTGTTTACATGGATGTTTTGTGCGGGTGCTTTGAAGTGCCTTGCATCAGGGACTAGGAACAACTGAATTATTTTTTCATGGGACTGTGTAAAGCATGTAACTAGGTATATAATAATTTGTAGCCTTACAATGGATTTTTTTTTTTAATTTAAGTGGAGAAAATACCCTTTTAAATTATGGACACTTATTAGAGAATGGGTTTAAGGACTTTCCAAGCGTGCAGCAATGGTGTGTTTCATTAAATTTGGCCGGTAGTAAATGTTGATATATTCTATACATGATAATATGCGACTTTTTCATTAAAAAATGCTGAAAAAGTTTTTAAATTCATTTGAAAGTCCGATGATTTTTACAATAAAAAACTTAAGAATGATTATCCTTAAGTTGCAGGCTTTTCTGTAGCGAGACTTATTGTGGTATTCTTTCACCCTTTAAACCTGAGATCAGTTTACCTTCTGTTATATTTAACATGTATTGTAGAATACTATATACAATGAGAATCATTAAAAAAATCTATGACTGTTTTATTTTTCAGACATTCATGTTTTAAGTGTAATACAAAACACAAGACTGGCAACCTGTTAAAAAATATATACCTACATGTGAAAAATGCATGTAGAAATTTTGAAAAGTTTTCGATATAATTGTCACTGAGTTAAGCAAATTTATTGCTAAAACCTACATGGGGTTTCTTTCTTTCCAACAATATATTTCACTCACATAATTTTGATTTCCACCCTCAATGCTCATACTTAAGGAAGTAATACCTATGTGATCCAAGGTATTATTTGCACACAGCAGTCTTTGTTTTGCGTATTGTGGATCATATATTTCAAAGGTACTGTTCATAAAGAATGATGTTTTAGTAGGTTGCAAATGGACAATTCCACGTTTCTATACAGGAAATATTTAAAGTGTCAGCTGTTTTGGTTTCTGAGTTTAAATATCCCTGCAGGGTCAGGAACAAACCAGCTGTCCCATAAGTCGTTGTGAACGCTGGGGAAGTCCCACGGTTTATGTCTTCCATTCCAGTGGAGCAGTTTGGCTTCTTGCAGAAAATGCTCTGAATATCTGGTATCTGGACTCCAGCCTTCATTGTTTTTTTAGAGAAAAAGAATAGGCTTGTTAGAAAATAAAATTCTATAAAAAGTTGAGTATAGGTTCATTATTTAAAAAATTAAAGGGTATATAATGAAGAGTTTACTACCCACCCTAAATCTCTAAAATGACCATGGTTTGCCTGGCTGGTGTGGCTCAATGGTCGAGCGTCAACCTATGAACCAGGAGTTCTTCGCATCAGGGCACATGCCTGGGTTGCGGGCTCAATCCCCAGCGTCAAGGTGCAGGAGGCAGCCAATCAGTGATTCTCTTATCATTGATGTTTCTATCTCTCTTCCTCTCCCTTCCTCTCTGAAATTAATAAAAATATATCTAAAATATAATAATAAAGTGACCATGGTTTGAAGTTCTCATGAAAAATTATTCTACCTGTACACAATATGTGTGTATGTGTATGTAGTATGTATTTGCATATATATATATATATACATATCATTGCATTATTATATATGTTATTTTTAAAAATGTATTTGTAATTTGCCTTTTAAAATTACTTAGGAAACCTTCCACAGATGCACATTGATTTACTGAATTATTTTTACTACTTTTTAAATGTTTTTATTGATTTCAGAAAGCAAGGGAGAGAGAGAGAGAAACATCAATGATGAAAGAGAACCATTGATCGGCTGCCTCTTGCACACCCCCCACTGGGGAAAAGCCCGCAACCCAGGCATGTGCCCTCGACCAGAATTGAACCCTGGACCCTTCAGTCCGCAGGCCGATATTCTATCCACAGCCAAACCAGCCAGGGCTGAATTATTTTTAATGACTACATAGAATGAATGCATCTATGATTACTTATTTAGTGAGTTTCTTATTAAGGATATTTAGGCTGTTTCTGTCCCTTCACTAAAATCAACAATGCTATAGGAGACAGTCTTATGCATGTATACAAACAGTATGTCTGTAGGATAAGAATCTTATAGGTGGAATTGAGAAATTGAAGGGTGTGTGCCTTTTAATTTATATATATCTATTTTTAACTGATTTTTTTTTTTTACAAAGAGGAAGAGAGAGGGATAGAGAGTTAGAAACATGGATGAGAGAATCATTGATCAGCTGCCTCTTGCACGCCCCTACTGGGGATGTGCCCGCAAGCAAGGTACATGCCCTTGACCGGAATCGAACCCAGACCCCTCAGTCCGGAGGCCGATGCTCTATCCACTGAGCCACACCGGTTTAGGCACCTTTAAATTTTTTATAAGAGATTGCCAATTGTCCCCAGAAGAACTTGTAACGGTTTTGCCCCCCATTCAGAGTTGGTAGGAGTTCTTGTCTTCCTACATTATCCGACAATATGACAAGATTTTCTTTTTCAAACAGTCTCATTTTTACTATATGAAAAGTGACCAAGAATAAGATCCAGTTTTTAACAAACCCCTATCTCCATGTGTACATTATTTCCCTCATAAGTATTCACTTAGAGACTCTATGCATTTACTTTAATATTGCTGCTGTTTTAATATTTTTAGAATACTTCTTCCAGAAGTACATTAAGATCTTGAGGATGGAAGTATTTTTTTTTTTTTTTTAATGTTCTCTACCGTGTTGTTTTTTCTAAGGGAATTTGCTATTTTTGAAAAACAACAGTCCATTGAGTAAAGAAGGTGAGTAGTTAAGTCTGTTATTCTGGTTTATCATATGGTGTGAGACAAAAACAAAAACCTGTCTTCTGTTATTCATAAACGCAGCTGTGAGGGTGGGTGGAAGGAGATTTCCGTGGAGTCTGTACAGAGGCATTAATATGCTCATTGGGAAGAGGGACCTTCCCGCCAGAAGCCTCACCAAGTAGAATGTCATGTCTCCACACTCTGACAGGAAGGCCAGAAGGGCTTGTAGTTGTGATTTTAGCCAAACATGTTTCATAAATGTTTAATATTTTTAAATATATTTTTATTGATATTTTTACAGAGAGGAAGGGAGAGGGATAGAGAGAAACATTGATGAGAGAGAAACATCGATCAGCTGCCTCCTGCACACCTCCTACTAGGGATGTGCCCGCAACCAAGGCACATACCCCCAACTGGAATCAAACCTGGGACCCTTCAGTGTGCAGGCCAGCGCTCTATCCACTGAGCCAAACAGGTTAGGGCAAATTTTTAATATTTTAAGCTTCCCTGTTTAGACCCAAACTTGATGCTCTTAGCATTCCATTGCTTTCTGCTTCCAGAACATTCTCACATCGAGGTATGTTTCAAAGGACCACTGTATAGATTGACTTGGCAGACCATCCCTGATTTCAAAACCTTCGGCACAGACTAGATTCCGCTCTACGGAGAAAAACGACTTCTTTCTACCAAGAAAAATGACTTCTTCCCCTTGGGAAGATTCTGCCGCTTTCTACTCGTCAGTAAGTTAGATATTTCATAAAATGTAATTCTGAGTCTCTGTCCCAAGATCATAAATGCTCTGACCTTATCGATCTCAGCTCCGCATAGCTGTACCTACACAGCATTTTTCACAGACGTTCTACGTTAATGAGATTTTCTGCACATTCGTTACATTGAAATGTTGCTATTTGACCTAACAGTGAACTCAGCATTAATATAAATCAAATCGGACGGAACAATAGTGTCCTTAGCCTCCCTGTGTCGCTTTTATGTGCTGGCAGAGGCCTAGGAAAGTCAGGGAAGAGTCTGGGAATGAGGCAGAAGCCGTCCAGACGGAATCACTAAGAGGAGACAGGAACCCAGCTTGCACAGTTTTGTCTGTCCTAAAAGGAAGAGTAAGGGAAGGAACCACTTTAAAGGATTGTTTTCAAAACTAGAAACAATGCTCATTTTTATCATGGGAACTAGGCCCAGAACTTGGAAATGCAATGGGACTTGGTAAATAGATGTCCATAATCCATTGTCTCCAAGTCTGTAATAATCCCCAAATGTCTGAAAACCAAAGGATTTCTAATTACTTCTGTGGCAGCCAAACCTAGATCCCACTCAGGGAATTGCATAACATAAGTATATGCATCACTTGACCTTTTTAGGGTCCCAAAATCTTTCTTAATTTCTAAATAGGTCCGGCTCAGTGGTTTTGGCTAACAGGTTGTGGCCATGTGTTTGAGTGAAAGTGAATGTCTCGGTGCTTGGCTCTGTCCTGAGCAATTTATATATGTTAGGTCATTTATTCCTTATAAAAGATGTGTAAGGTTCTATTAGCTTTGATTTACAAATGAAGAAACTAAGGCACAGAGAAGATGAGAGCTTGCCCAGGGCCATAGGTAATAGAATTGGGACCCCAACCCACACTTAGAGCTTGCACTCCTGTAGTGAAGAGTAAATACACATAGGACACAATCAGGAAACAGACATTGAGGAAAGAGACATTGCCGGCCCTGGCCGGTGTGGCTCAGTTGGAGCATTGTCCTATATACCAAGAGGTGGTGGGTTCGATTCCTGGGTTGTGTGTTCAATTCCCAGTTAAGCGGTATATGGGAGGCAGCCAATTGATGTCTCTCTCCCTCTCAGCAGCCAATTGATGTCTCTCTCTTCCCTCTTCTTCTCCCTCTCCCTCTCCCCCCCCCCTTCTCTCTCTCTCTTCCCCGTCCTCCCCCTCCCCCGGTCTCCCTTCTTCCCTCTCTCTAAAATCAATAAAAAGCATATCCTCTGGTGAGGGAAAAAAGAAAATACACTGCCAGCTATCTAAATACATCATAGCCCTAGCTGGTTTGGCTCAGTGGATAGAGCATCAGCCTGTGGACTGAGGGGTACCAGGTTCAATTCCAGCCAGGGGCACATGCCCGGGTTGTGGGCTTGATCCCTAGTGCGGGACATGCAGGAGGCAGCCAATCAATGATTCTCTCTCATCATTGATGTTTCTATCTCTCCCTCTCTAAAATCAATAAAATATATTTTTTAAAAATAAATGCATCATAAACTACAATATTATGCTAATTCATTTGGTTTTGTCCACCGTAGGTCACTTTCAAAGAGTTCAATAAAAGTTACGAGAAAGTACTGACAGTGAAAGTTCTAACAAAAGTTCATGTTTATCTGGCACCTGTCATGTGTATGCTGAGCACGAGTCTAATTGCTTTTCAAGAATTCCTAGAAACACACCTCTCGGGCAGGCCATCTTGATCAGCTGCACCTGCAGATCTGAGCCATGAAGGTTCAGTAACATGTCCAAAGCCATCTCCAAGGTCACGTGGAGGGTGTGATGGAGGAAGCCGGTGCTGTAGCACGCTTCCCCCAACCTCATGCTCAGAGATCTCTAACGCGCACATTTGCGTTGTCTCTCCCCGGGACTCACCCAGGTGCCGGATGTGCCACAGCGGGTTGATGGTGGAGTATTTGCCATGGAACACAATCAGCATTGGGGACGTGGCCACCTCTCCCCCCATGGAACTGCTGTAGAGATTTTCCCTGAGAAAATGAAGAGAAAAGAAAGATTTGAAGCCTGGAGCCCCACCGACTCAGATAAAGAAGAATCTAATAATTTTAAAAGATGCGGGACAGTCTCACAATATTATAAGACTAGAGTCTTTCACTTCCCTCCAACCTTGTCTTTTGAAAATGGTTAAACCTACACAAAATTAAAAGCAGAAAACCATGAACATGCATGTACTTCACCTAGTGTCACAGGGTTAATATTTTGCCATTTTAATTCTCAGACTTCTTAACGGTAAACACAGAAGATCACATGCTGATTCTCCATTACTTAGAATGCCTTTGTTCACAAATTCAAGGTCTGGTGGAATTAAAAATATCCCGGAAAAAAGCAGGCAAGGAAATACAATGACATGATCGTAGTGATAATGTTAGCATGAATCTTCTCTGTTTAAGACTTCAATCGTGAGAAATTATATTTTTTAAAAATTCAATCCCCGGAAACCAAGTTGACTTCATAAAATAACCCTTAAAAAACCAAATCTGTGTAAGAAGGAGGAACTCGACTAAGATAAGTGATTTCCAGTGGAAAAGGTTCAGTAGGATTCTGGGAGAAGATGTACAGTCACATTATTAATAATTTCTTAGGAAAATGTTTGTATCATAAGGATTCCGCGGGATCTCACTTCCTCTGACATATCATTTGAGAACATATTTTCATCTATTGCCCCTTTGCTTTCCCAGGGAGAAAGTCTGACCTAAGGTGTCTAATAGTAATATATATCTAACCACTGAGCTATGCATAGAAGATTCATTGTATAATTGTGTTCCCAAGCGCGGGTGGGGGAGGTGGGAGTGGGGAGGGTAAGACCTGAACATACTCCACATTTTTCTGCATCCACCTCTCCAGCTGTTTGGTAATGCGCTGGTGCTTCCATTCCGTCATGTTGGCGACAATCACGCCCGGGTTGAAGGAGCAGGTGCTGGGGCTGATGCCGAGGTCTTTTATGGTCTGCTTCCTGTAGTCCAGGAAGCCCATGTAGGTGTTCTGTGAAGGAACAGGATAGGCGTCTAGGCGTGCCACATGGAGAACAATCTGAAAACAGTCATTTCTCTTGAAACCATTGTGTGGTGTCCCTGGCTTTCCTCCTGTGTCACTGGCCATTTCCTAGCGCCTGTTGCTGGTCTCCTTTAAAAGTTGGGGTCCCCCCAGTCTCATTTCCAGCACCTGTCCCTTCTCTAGCACTGACTCCCTGACAGCCTCATCTCATCTTGTGGCCCTAAATATCCTCCGTGGAGTTAGCCCTGACCTCCCCCCTGGATTTCCCACTCCTGCTCCATCTGCCAGCTCAGGGTCTCCTTCTGGATGCTCAAGGCAGCTCCACCGATATCCCCTTCCTGTCCCAAATGTGCTTTCCTACAACCTGCCCTATCTCAGTGAGTGCAACTCCGTCTTTCTAGCAACTTAGGCAGAAAACCCAGGGTCAGTAGGTCATCCTGGACTCGCCGCCTTCACTTTTCATCCAGATCTGTCAGCAAATCCTGCTAGTCCCATCTTCCAAAATCTATCCCGCTGCCTCTCCTGCTGCCTTCCCTGTCCCGGCCATAATGGCCACTCCCTGGATTTCTGCAAGGTCCTCCTAACCAGTGTTCCTGCTTCTCCCACTCCTTTCAACCCCACGCTGTCCCTGTTGCTCATCTGCTCCAAGCTCCTCTAACACCTTCCACCTCTTTCAAAGTAAAAGCCACAATTCCTAAAGTGGCCTGCCCTGCCCGACACCATCTGCTCCCCAATGTTCATTATTCCCCCTCTGGATCCCTCTGCCGCATCGACCTCCTTGTTTTTTTTGGTTTTTTTGTTTGTTTTTAATATATTTTATTGATTATTTTACAGAGAGGAAGAGAGAGGGATAGAGTTAGAAATATCAATGAGAGAGAATCATCGATCAGCTGCCTCTTGCACATTCCCCACTGGGGATGTGCCCACAACCAAGGTACATGTCCTTGACTGGAATCAAACCCGGGACCCTTCAGTCCGCAGGCCAACGCTCTATCCACTGAGCCAAATGGGTTTCGGCTCGACCTCCTTGTTCTGTGATCCACCAGACACACCCCTGCCTCAGGACCTTTGCACCTGCCGACAACACTGTCTTGGAATGTTGTTCTCCCTGCTTCGGTGGCTCCCTTCATTCTTTCAGGTATAGGTTCCCAACACCATCTCAGCAGAGCCTTCTATGATCACCCAAAAATACAGGCCACCCCCACCCGGATCCTCTGTTAGTACCTTTCTGGTCTTCCCACCAGAATGTAAGCTCTGTGAAGGCGGGGATTTTCATTTTGTTTGCAGTGTTGTTAGTACCTAAAAGTGTCAGGCACGTAGGAAGCCCTCAGTACACAGCTGAATGAATATGACACCGGGCAGGACATAAGGTTTCACACACGGGCTGCCATGATCTACCTCAGTGGAGGGCTCAAACACGACACAGCAGTAACAGACATACTCCATCGAGCGCTTTCTGTGTGCCAGGCACCATTCTAAGAACTGCACAGGCATTACCTCATTTTTAAAAAATATATATATTTTATTGATTTTTTACAGAGAGGAAGGGAGAGGGAGAGAGAATTAGAAACATCAATGAGAGAGAAACATCGATCAGCTGCCCCTTGCACACCCCCTATGGGGGATGTGCCCGCAACCAAGGTACATGCCCTTGACCGGAATCGAACCCGGGACCCTTGCGTCCGCAGGCCGACGCTCTATCCACTGAGCCAAACCGGTTTTGGCTGGCATTACCTCATTAAGTGTGTTCCATCACTTCACATGTGTTCACTAACCCAATTCTCACAGGGACTCCCCCTCTATCTGACAAATAAAGGAGAAAACAATGGGTTAAGTAACTTGTCCCAAGCTGCTTAGGTGATGGAGCCGAGATCTTGACCAATTCAGGTCTGGCCCCAGAGCCTAGGCCTTAACTGCCATTTAAAAATTAAAAATTATTTAAAAATTGTTCCCTGGAATTTTTTTGAAGAACAACATCCAATTCTTAATAGCGCCTTGCATTTTAAAGCCATTCTTTTCTCATTTCCACCCAGATAAGGAGCTCTTTACCCTTGAACAAAATCAGCATTTTCCTCTACTGAGGGGGCGGGGGGGGGGGGGGGGGGAAGGGGGAAGCAATGGCTAAAACTATGAAAGCAGGCCCTGTCCGGTTTTGCTCAGTGGATAGAATGTTGGCCTACAGACTCAAGGGTCCCAGGTTCGATTCCTGTCAAGGGCATGTACCTTGGTTGTGGGCACATCCCCAGTAGGAGGTGTGCAGGAGGCAGCTGGCCGATGTTTCTCTCTCATCAGTGTTTCTAACTCTCTCTTCCTCTCTGTAAAAAAAAAAAAAATCAATAAAATATATTTTAAAAAAACAATAAACTCTGAAAGCAGAACCAAAGACTCAGCAAGTCTCTTTCACAGAAAACACCACCTCTGACAGAAAGGGAGGTTAAGCGGGATAGAGATAACTGCCACTCCTGGTGCAGACCGGACATGCTATTTCATCTCAGCTCACAAAGACACGATAACATGGCTATTATTGTCGCCATGTTTCAGATAAGAAAAGTGGTTTCTGCAGGGTTCAGGAACTTGCCCCGGAGTGACCTCAGGGTGGAGCTGGGTGTCCATCCCAGGCCCCTGGGTTCTGCCTCCAGCAATCCAGATGGGGTGGGGCTCTGGAGGTGCAGCTTGCACTGGTGCTGAGTTGTGGGAGGGGGAGAGGTGAAGGCAGGATTTCTGAGACGCGCACTCACCTGCAGCCCCACAAGCCTGTGCCTGTCCTGGAGCGAGGGCAAATCGCAGTCATCTGAAAAGGCAGCGGCGTGGCCCAGGGCCAGGGTGGTGTCGTACAGCTCCTGGATGTCACCTGCGTCATAAACACCGGGAGTTCAGAGAGTGCGGCGTCAGCGTTAGGTGGCAGAGAGCCTCAGAGTTTAACCCAATCCCTGGCTTTGCTGTGGGGGACAAGTGCGTGATCCCCGATTTCATGTGGCTTGGCAATTTACTGAATAAGAGCAGCTCAGCTCAACGTAGAAAGCCACTTGATCAGAAGCTCAGCTGGGCATTGGACAACGGTCTTTATTTCTATTGCTATGTAGGTATCCCATCGATGCTTAGCTTATGTGCATCTAATATGTTTTTCATTGATTTTACAGAGAGAAAGGGAGAGGGAGAGAGAGAGAGAAACATTGATGTGAGAAGAAACGTTGATGAGTTGTCTCTCGAAAACACTGAACTGGTGATCTTCCAGTGCATGGGACGATGCTCAACCCACTGAGCCTCACCAGCCAGGGCTGTCTCATTTGCATGTAAACACTAAAACTTAGTTCTGAGAATGTCACCAGTGAGACGATCTCTCCATACATTTTTAGGGGTACAGAGGATGGAAAGAAAACCAACCTACTTATCTCAATGGATAGAGTGTTGGCTTTATCCATTTAACCATCTGTGAGTGGCTTTCAAAAACTCAACTGGACTGTCCAGGGAAGTGAGTATCAACCTCTGATTTATTCCTGAATTTGCAACAATACTATACTCCCAAATTTAATAAGCAGGGCGGGGGGAAATCACTGGGCAGCTAACTCCTTGGAAAATTGAGAGACAGTCATTCTACTTAGCCCGGCTCCTTGAGTATACCTTGGACAATGACATCGTCGTCCAAATAGATGACTTTCTCGTGTTGGTGGATCAGCAGAGGGAGATAGAACCGAACGAAGTTCAGCTGTGAGACAACAAAAGAAGCGAGGGTGGGGAGGAGGCGCAGGGTGCCGTGTCTCCCAAGGGTGCCGGGATTCAGTGGGGCTCGCAGAGGCTTCCTCCTGCATCTCCAGGCCACAGGTTGCCTGTCTCCCTCTGCATTCAGCAATTTGACTACTGTTGTTACATTGTAAGTCAGAAGACACCTTCATCAATAAGCCAGGTTTATTTGGAGTCCTGCTCATTTCGCGAGCGCTAAGCGGGCCCAGAGGAAAAATCTTGCTTCTCAAATGCTGGGGTCAAATATGGTAGAAGTCTCCCACATTGATACGTTTTCCAGTTCTTTGTCGAATGAGACTTCCAGACCTTCTGAGAAAAAGTCCTGTGTGCTGGGACAGGCCGTGAGACCCTATCTCAAGGCCTGGCCTGACGTCAGCACTCACAACTCTGTCTGGGGCATAGTTTATGGCCTCTCTGAAATGGGGAGTAGTCTTATTTTTCCCTATTATTTAAGCAAGCATACGTTTACAGAAGCCAGAATAGCAGGGTTAAATTTTAAACAGCAGTTTTTACCCAAGATGGAGGTTACTACCCTGTTTCCCCGAAAATAAGACAGTGTCTTATATTAAGTTTTGCTCCCAAAGATGTGCTAGGTCTTATTTTCAGGGGACGTCTTATTTTTTCCATGAAGAAGAATACGGTACACATTTATTGTTAAACGAAAATAAAGGAAATTTATTACCTGTATACGGTACGGTAGTACGGTAGTTGTCAACACAAACCAGACAAACTGTGAATCCTACAGTATCAAGAATTTACTCATTCATTCAATGACAATCAGGTCATCGTCTTCTGGAACATCATCATAACAATCCAATTCCTGAATTTCCTGGTGAATTTCTTGTGACTCCATTTCTTTCAGAATCAGTGGGCCAAATCTCTCATGTTTAGCAATAGCATTCTGAGACAGAGCCTGGGGGGGGGGGGGACTTATTTTTGGGGGGATGCCTTATATTTCACTCAGAAGGAAACCTGTAAGTAGGTCTTATTTTCGGGGAAACACGGTAGGCTTCACAGTGAACTAAATCAGACTCACACACACACACACACACACATACACACACACACACACACACACACACACACACACACAGGTATTATCCTCAACAGTAAGCTCAACCTCAGCTCCTTGAACCAGAAAACAGAGGAGCATCGGCGGAGGGTGGGAGTTTTATTAGCCACGACACAGCTTAATCCAAAGGCCCAGCTCAGCCCGGGCTCCAATAATAAAAACCTGGAATTGAGGGAAGATCGTGTCATTAGACAGAGGGCTTAGAATTGAGTACATTTTCAGGGATGGGTTTAAGGAGCAAGTATATGTAGAAGGTGGTTACATTTCCTGTAACTCTGCCATCAACACCACTCCTTCTGGTCCCTTTGGGAAGAACTCTTGCAGTAAAATACCTTAAGATTCCAAAGCTAGAAAATATGATCTTAGTCGATACTAGGAAGTATATAATCCATCATGCTACCAGTTTTCCTTCGTTGCTGGGATATTCCAAGATAAATGTTACGTCCAATCACAGCAGCCTGCGGGGTTGGGAATATTTTTTCCTGGCCTCACTACGTGGCCCCTTCCCCCACCCCCTCATGCATATTCACACACATAAATAAATCCTATATTTTCTTATGCTTCATTTCTTCTTTCACTACTCTGTTATGTTGATGTAAACCATCTTAAACCCTTTCTGGAGCAAGTGACTTGCAAATACAAAGAAGCTGAGTTTGGCAAAGATCTAACAACTGTGAGCTTCAGAACTATTCCGTCCGCATCCCAGTGGGGAGCACCCCATGTGGAACAGGGGCTCCCCGAGGACCGCCCCCAGCACCCACAGTCCTACTCACAGGCTGGAGCAGCTCCGGCCTTGCCGAGTCTGGTCGGATCTTCCCTTTGAGGACCATAGGGTTGAATTCCACGACTTTGAAGTTTATTTCTCTCAATTTAGAATGTTCGATCCATTTTCTAAAGAGATTAAACAAACAAACAAAACAACCTCTAATATACACATCCCATCTTCCCTCAATTTGAATATTGCCTCAATCCAGTGGCTCCCTGGAAAGTTAAAAAATAAAATATGTGTAACCTTAGTAGAGTTTAGTCTGTAATTCCCATTCCCCCCTCCCCCCATCTTGTCTGGTTTAAATCTTTCCATTATTATTATTATTATTATTATTCACATAACTTTTTCTGCAAAAGAAATAAAATAAAATAGCAATAACCAACTATCTCCCCAGATCTATGTCCTCTACACAGGTAACTGGAAGAACCTAACATTCCCCTATCTTATAAAGCAGCATCTTTAGTTGTCAGTACCACCCATGCCACATGTCAGCAACTCTGTAATGTTATGAAGCAAAGCAGGGCATTCCAACCTTCTGCAGTGACTGAGGTCACCTTTACCCTTTTGACTCCAGGGCCATTTGAATTTACTTGTGTTTCTTTATCTCTGTCTCTCAGTCTTCCCCATCCCTCCTCATTCCCTGCCTTCTCCTCTCACATATTCTCAGTCTTACAGAACTTCTATCTTTTAAAAAATCTGTACTAATAAAAGCCTAGGTGGCATCTTGCCCTCACATCATTACAAGATGGCTGCCATAAGATGGCCGCCCCCACATCATCACAAGATGGCCACCACAAGATGGCCAGCAGGGGAGGACAGTTGTGGGTGATCAGGCCAGCAGGAGAGGGCAGTTAGGGCGATCAGGCTGGCAGGGGAGGGCAGCTAGGGATGATCTTGCTGGCAGGGGAGCAGTTTGAGGGTGATCAGGCTGGCACACAGAAGTGGTTAGGGGCAATCAGGCAGGCAGGCAGGCGAGCAGTTAGAAGCCAGCAGTCCCATATTGTGAGAGGGATGTCCGACTGCTGGATGTCTGAGGGGTCCCAGATTGTAGAGGGTGCAGGCTGGGCTGAGGAACACCCCTCCAGTGCACAAGTTTCATGCACTGGGCTTCTAGTATATCTACATATTTATTAATTTCAAAGAGAAAGGGAGAAGGAGAGGGAAACATCAATGATGAGAAGGAATCATTGATCTGCTGCCCCCTGCATGCCTCACACTGGGGATTGAGCCTGCAACCCAGGCATATGGCCTGACCAGGAATTGAACCAGGACCTCCTACCTTCTAGGTCAATACTCAACCACTGAGCCACACTGGCCAGAGCAGAATATCTATCTTTTAATCTAACTCATATGAGATTTCTTATAAGAAATCATCTCAAAATAAATTTTCCAACACATAAGCCACACAGTAGTATTTCTTGTTGATTAAAAATTGCAGAGAGGAGAATCCAAGATGGCTGCACAGGTAAACACCTAGCCACAGCCGCACACAACAATTTCAATAAAATATAAAATGGACATTACCCAGAACTACAGGAAAGTTGACTGACTGGAAATTCTACAACGAGAAGCAAGGAGAAAACCAGAAGGAAGAGAGGAGGAACTGTAAAAGCCTAAGGTATGGAGACACGCGGCGCGCAGAGAGGACAGAGTCAGAGAGGAGGGGCGGTTGAGTGCCTGCCTGGCGTTCCCTAGTGGGAAGGAGATAAAAGCTCCGACTGTGCTGGGCCCCAGTTCTGACTGCTCTGAACCCCAGTTCTAGGCCAGACCCCGGGAACCCAGGCTCAAACAGAGGGAGCTGGGCTGTAAGACGGAACCCCGGGGGAAGCGGCGAAAGGAGGTCCCAGAAGCGCGCACATTGTGCGCCGAGAAGGGACGGTTAGCTGTGCCGTGGGATTGCCCTGGCGGGAATGAGACAGGGGCTCCAGACTGCTCTGGACACCACCTCCAACTCCACTTCCAACTGAACTGAACCCCAGTTCCGGGCTCATGGGGGGAGAGTCTAGACTGTTTGGTAGCAGGCGAAAATCGAGGGCACCTTTCTCTCAGAGGTGCTTGCAAAGAGTACTGAAGGACCCTGAGACTCAGGAGCCGCATAGGGCGGGGCTGACGGAAGCCAAAGCTGTAGGCTCCACCCTGAAACCCCGCCCCATCAGGGAAGCCGCGAAAATGCAGAGACGAAATAGATCACAAACGAAAGAAATGGAGGACAAAAAGCGACTGGATATTGAGTTCAAATCTACGCTTATAAGGTTTTTCAAGAATTTCCTAGAAAAGATCGATAAGACCTATGAGGATATGAAAAGGGATCAACTAGAATTAATAAGGAATCAACAAGAAATGATAAGGGATCAACAAGAAATAAAGAATACATTGTCTGAAATAAAAAATATTATACAGAGTCCTAAAAACAGAATGGAAGATCGCAAGAATCAAGTCAAAGATTTGGAACATAAAGAGCCAGAAGACACTCCTCCGCAGAAGCTAGAAGGCAAGAGAATCCAGAAAGTTGAAGATAATGTAAGAAACCTCTGGGACAACTTCAAGTGAACCAACATCAGAATTATGGGGGTCCCAGAAGATGAGAGAGAGCAAGATATCGAAAACATACTGAAAAAAATAGTGACAGAAAACTTCCCCCACCTGGTGAAAGAATTAGACTTACAAGTCCAGGAAGCACACAGAACCCCAAACAAAAGGAATCCAAAGAGGACCACACCAAGACATATCATAATTAAAATTCCAAGAGCAAAAGACAAAGAGAATATTAAAAGCAGCAAGAGCAAAGCAGATAGTTACCTATAAAGGAGCACCTATACATTGTCAGCTGATTTCTCAACAGAAACCATGCAGGCCAGACGGGAATGGCAAGAAATATTCAAGGTGATGAATAGCAAGAACCTACAGCCAAAGATAATCTATCCAGCAAAGCTATCACTCAGATTCGAAGGTCAGATAAAGAGCTTCACTAATAAAAAAAAAAGCTAAAGGAATTCATCACCACAAAACCAGAATTATATGAATTGCTGAAGGGGGTTTTTTCAGAAGAGAAAGTAAATAAAGAAAAATTATGAACAACAAATACGTAACTATCAACAAGTGAATCTAAAAACCAAGGAAATTTTTTAAAAAAATCTGATGAACAATATTAACTGTTGAATATAATAGAATCAGAGGTATGGAAGGGGAGTGAACTGATGATTCTTGGGGAAAAGGGGAGAGAGGGATGTGGGAAGAGACTGAACATAAACTGTGCACCTATGGATGAGGACAATGGGGGGTGGGGAAAGGGCAGAGGGTGGGGTGGGAACCTGGTGGAGGAGAACAATGGAGGGGGGGGGAAGGAACATTTGTAATAATATAAACAATAAAAATTTATTTAAAAAAAAAGAACTATGAAAGAAAAAAAAATTGACAGAGGTCTTGGCCAGCATGGTTCAGTGGTTGATCTTCAACCTCTGAACCAGGAGGTCAAGATTCAATTCCCAGTCAGGGCACATGCCCAGGTTGCAGGCTCAATCCCCAGTGTGGGGTGTGCAGGAGGCAACAAATCAATGATTATCTCTTATCATTGATGTTTCCATCTCTCTCTCCCTCTCCCTTCCTCTCTGAAATCAATAAAAATATTTTTTTAAATCAACAAAGAAATTAAATCTTCCTAAAATTTAGACCTGCACAATTTGAACCATAAAAATCAGCCATTTACACAATGTATTATATCAATTATTTCTCAATAAAGCTGTGGGTGGAAGGCAGTCATGCCAATAAAAAGTCAGCCCAACCGAAAAACTGGCAAGAGACTCAGGCATGGGCCCATCCTGGTTTGGCTCAGTGGATAGAGCATTGGCATGCAGACTGAAAGATTCCAGGTTTGGTTCCGGTCAAGGGCATGTACCTTGGTTGCAGGCACATCCCTAGTAGGGGGGTGTGCAGGAGGCAGCTGATGGATATTTCTCTCTCATCAGTGTTTCTAACTCTTTATCTTTCTCCCTTCCACTCTGTAAAAAAAAAATCAATAAAATATATATTTTTAAAAGAGACTCAGGCATGCATATCTAAATATCCAAAAAATGTGTGAAAAAGTGCTCAACCTCATTAAAGATAAGGGAACCCCACAATGAGACATTGCTGCTGTGGTGGTTGTTACAGGGCTGTGTCTATTATACATTTGTGACAATTCACTAAGCTATACATGGGTTTATTCAGTTTCCTGTATTTGTGTTACACTTTGATGGAAAGAGTTTTTAAAATATTTTAAAATAAGGGGTTGTGACCTGGGAATCATTCTCTGCTCATATGTCATACAATCCTGAAGCTCAAAACTACCGTTCAAATACAGACCCTTATTCAGACCATATCACACAAGCCATCCTTTGGGTTTGTTATCTATATCCACAGACAACTAAGGGCAGACTAAGTGAGCTCAGATTGTAATAGTAAATTATAAGAAGAGTGACAAATGAGACCAAAAAAACATTCAAACCTAGGAAACACAGATAAGCCCCCAAAACCCACAGCAACCAAGGACCATTTAGACTAGGACCAGGTCTCAGTATCTCCTAATGGTGATACTACCCACAAATTCAGTTATAAAAACCATCTATAAATACGTTCTTCTTGTAACTAATGGGAGTAACACTTGAGATACCGTGAGATTCCCTTCATCACTGTTTTCTCAAATATTCCATCCTCCCCAGAGATGGTCACTGTTAACATGTGGAGATCTTTCCCATATTTTTCTTTATGTTTTGTTAATTCTTACCTGAGGATATTGTTCCATTGATTTTTACAGAGAGTGGAAGGGAGGGGGGAGAAAGAGAGAAGATCATTGATGTGAGAGAGACACATCTACATGCCCCAACTGGGGCCTGGGATCAAGCCTGCAACTGAGGAATGTGCCTTTGACCAAAATCGAACCTAAGACTCTTCAGTCCAAGGGCTGATGCTCTACCCACTGAGCGAAACCAGCTAGGGCTATTCTACATTTTTATAATACATTTAAAATTTGATTTTCTGTCTATTTCTTCTCAATCCAACTCCAATTTATTTCTTAGTGTGGTGAGGGACACGAAAGATATCACTTTGCAGTTCAAAAACTATAATTAGTGATGAGCCACATTAAAATGACTGCATTAGCCCTAACAGGTTTGGCTCAGTGGATAGAGCATCGGTCTGCGGACTGAAGGGTCCCAGGTTCAATTCTTGTCAAGGGCATGTACCTTGGTTGCAGGCACATCCCCAGTATGGAGTGTGTAAGAGGCAGCTGTCCCTCTCATGGATATTTCTTGCTCTCTGTAAAAAATCAATAATATATATATAAAATATAAAATAAAAATAAAATGACTGCATTATACTAATATTCTCTCAGGTTAAGAAAGTAAAGAAAAGAGAAACCATTTTAGAAAGAATGACTCCTATAAACTGCTTAAGGATTGGGGTTCTTTAGTTCATTAGACAATTCAATTTTGCAGCATGACACACAGGCCTACCGAATTAGTGAGGCTTTGCTAGAAATTCCTTCGTGAGGCAACACATTTATCAAGTCACCAAATAAACCTGAGGTCATCCCCTTCTTAATTTGAATGACATTTCTCAAATAAAAATTAAAAAAAAAAGAAACCCATTTAAGAAAAAACAAGGAAGACCAAAAGGAAGTAGAAAACTCCAACATCTACAGTATACAACTTGCCGTATTCGAGACAGAGTGTTCCGGAGCCCAACTACATAGAACAAGATGTTGGCATCCGTATTGCTGTAGATGCTGTTGATGGCGGCCATCGCAGCCCCCATCCTCCCTGCTGCTGCACAGATCACCACGGGGATCTCGTCGTCCAGTTCCTCCGGAGTCCCGGAGTCATCATCTGGAAACATCAAAACCAGTGTCTTGGAACATGAAGGAATTTTACAGTCGAGTCAGTGAAACTTGTCTTCCCCACCCCTGAGGGAAGATAGCAGAGTGTGGAAGAGGCTGTGGATTGTTCTCCAATACCCAGTCTTTCCTTCTTCCCTTAGAACATTGGAATTTTCTCTGGCACGTGGCCAACCGCTAAGAATTTTTTCCAGACTCCCTTGCAGCTCTGTGTCGTCAGGTTCCAACCAGTGGGATGTTAGTAATGTGTGCAACTACTGAGTTTGCTTTTATAAGAAACTTGCACACCCGCCCTCTCTCCTTTTCCCTTCCCCTTGGCTGGAATGTTGTTATGAGGGCAGTTACCCTGGACCACAGATGGAAGCTGCCTATTGAGGACACCAAAACCCTAAGATAGAAGGAATCTTGAGCTAGATGGTTGCGGAAGTGACACATCAGACTTCACTTGAGAGGGAAAATAGACTTCTATTTTGCTTTAGTCGGTTTTTTTGTTTTGTTTTGTTTTGTTGTGTTGTTTTTTTGTTTGTTTGTTTGTTTTCTGTGTGTGTGTGTGTGTGTGTGTGTGTGTGTGTGTGTGTGTTTAACTTCCCTAGAGAAGCCGATCGAATAACAGTCGCCAACCTTTCTGACCTCATGGACCACCAGTAGTCCGCAGACCACCGATGGGCGACCGCTTGCCTAACACATACACACTTGAAAAATATGTGAAGAACTGAAAAGCTTCATTTAATTCAACAATTCCTCAACTTTCTCCCCTAAATTGGAATATTTTCCCCATCTATATTGCTATAAAATATATACTGCTTGTGGTCTTCCTTCCCTTATCCACATTCTAGTCAAGTGTCTCAAAAGTTGACAGAAAGAGAAAGAAGTTAAATAAAAAGCATGACTGATAGACAAAATCAATCACTTATCATTCTTTTGAGCCTTGGCTATCATATAAAATACTAATAACCAGTGTGTTGTTTTAAAACTGAAATGAAATCATACTTTTCATAGCCTTCTGCAACTTTCTTTTTCCATTCAACATACCATGGACATCATTCCATGTCAACATTGCATTCTTTTGAATGGTATTTTTTAATACTGGATTTATTTTAACACTGAATGGGATAAAAATTGTGATTTTGGTTCTATCCTTGTATCATATATAGCTGATTCCCCTGGCTGGTGTGGTTCAGTTGGTTGGGCATCCCATACACCGAGAGTTCAATGGTTCAATTCCTGGTCAGGGCACATGCCCAGGTTGTGGGCTCAATCTCCAGTAGAGGGCTTACAGGAGGCAGCAGGTTGATGTTTTTTGCTTATCTGTATTTCTCTCTCTCTCACACCCTTTCTCATTCTCTCTAAAATCAATAAAAACATGTAAAATTTTTTAAATTGGAAAAAAAATCTAGCTAATTAATCAGCCAGGATATGTACTTTAACAACTTTTTAAAAGCTAATAATTTCATTCCATGAATAAAGGCATTTGCAATGGGGATTAGCTGATCAAATGTGCTGGTTTATGGGCAGGGAATGAAAAGTGAGAAATACAGAGCTCAAAGTTCAGACAATTTGACCTTGTATGACCTCAAATAAATAAATAATTTAAAATTTTTTAAATTATTTATTTATTTGAGAGAGAGAGAGAGAGAGAGAGAGAGAGAGATTGACTCGTTGCTCCACTCATTCATGCATTTATTAGTTGACCCGATGAGGTATCAAACGTTCAACTCTGGCACATTGGGAGGACACTCCAACCAACTGACCCACCTGGCCAGAGCCTCTCTCTCTTTTAAAATAGTTTTAGGGAAGGATAATTTAGATACTGACTTGTCTAGAACCTCTAAAATTCAGATGTTGAAGTCCAAATTTCTAGTACCTCAAAATGTAACAGTATTTGGATATAGGCCCTTTAAAGAGGCATTGACGTTAAAATGAGGTCAGTGGCGGGAGGAGGGTATGGGGTGGGGGTGCCACTTAATCCCGTATGACTGGTACCCTTAAAAGAAGAGGAAGAGATACCAAGGACACATGTACAGAAAAAGGTCATATGAGGACACAGCAAGAAGGGAGCCATCTGCAAGCCAAGCAGAGAGGCCTCAAGACCCGCCAATCCTTCCAGCATCTTGATCTTGGACTGCCAGCCTCCTGAATTGTGAGAAAATAGACATCCATTGTTTAAGCCACCTAGTCTGTGGTAGTTTGTTTCGGCAGCCCTACCAAACTAACACAAATTTCTTTGTATCTACTTATTATGAGTGTACAGTTCAGTTATTATTTTTTTTGGTGTGTAAATGTATAGAGTTGTGCAACCATCACCACAATCCAATTTTAGAACATTTCCATCACCCCAACATGTTCCCTTGGGGCAGTCTGAGGTCAGCCCACTCCCACTCCTAGCCCTAGACAGCCACTCACCTGCTTTCTGTCTCTCTACATTTGCCTTTTCTAGAACGTTTGTATAAATGGAATCACACAATGTGTGATGTTTTGGGTCTGGCTTCTTTCATTTAGCATAATGTTTGTGAGGTTTATTTATATTATAGTGGGTAAATTGTGGTAAAATACACAATATAAAATTTACCATCTTAACCATTTATAAGTGTACAGTTCAGTGGTATTAAATACATTTATCCCGTTGTCCAACCATCTCTAGCATCCATCCCCATAACTCTTGTCTTGTCAAGTTGACACTCTACCCATTCAACAATAACTCCCCACCTTCCCCTCCCCTTAGCCCCCAGCAGCCAGAATTCTACTTTCTGTCTTAGGATGTTGACGGTCTAAGTACCTCACATAAGAGAAATCACCCATGACTTGCCTTTTTTCGCCTAGCATACCTGCTTCCTTCTTGAGCACAGTCCCCTTGTGAACTTTCTTATACAGAATCCCACAGAGGGTCACAATCAGAAAGAACAGCAGCACCTGATTAACTGAAATTAAAAAAAACAAAAGAGAGACAAGTTCAGCCTATCGAGCTGGAGCTGTGGAAACATTCAGAGCCGCCATGTAAGGAGTTGCCTTCCATGACACACACAGGCATGGTGGCACCGGAGTTTTTTGTTGTTGTTGTTTTTTTAATATATATTTTATTGATATTTTTACAGAGAGGGATAGAGAGTTAGAAACATTGATCAGCTGCCTTTGCATACGCCCTACTGGGGATGCGCCCGCAACCAAGGTACATGCCCTTGACCGGAATCGAACCTGGGACCTTTCAGTCTGCAGGCCGACGCTCTATCCACTGAGCCAAACCGGTTTCGGCAGGGAGCCTTCTTTAAGCAGATGGCATGCGTAGGGAAGACTCAACCTGCTATACTGTTGATACTCAAGGATATGCTCCTGCAGTGTAAGGAGGATCCTGGGATAAACCCAAGGAGTGGGATGGCAGAGGCTACCACCTCAATGGCGACCGGATGTTGCCTTTTCTGTGCAGGAACTTTGTTTGGAATAACAGCCAATGTTTGTATAACTTGTGAGAGGAGCCAGCACTTATTTCATGTTCTCGGCCATGGAAGCCCAGCTGCTTCTCAGATACTTCAGCCACCAGTCAAGGATGACATGCAGAAAACATTTTACCTCGTCCAAGCTGGTCTGGCTCAGTGGATAGAGCATCAGCCTGAGGACTGAAGGGTTTCAGATTTGATTCCAGTTGCAGGCTTCTCCCCTGCCTGGACCCCTAGTTAGGGCATAGGCTGGAGGCAACCAATCGATGTGTTTCTCTCACAATGACATATCTCTCTGTCTATCACTCTCTCTAAAAAATCAGTGGAAAAATATCCTCCTGTGAGGATTAAAAAAAAAAAAATAGAAAGAAAATGTTTGCCTTGGGTAAGAGGTTAGAAGACCCACCTACATGTGCTCCAGTTCTGAGCCTCCAGGAGCCTCTGTTTCAGAACTGTGGCCCCTGGCATCTCCTGAGAAGTGGGGTGATGCCGAATAGGGTTGCCATAGTAGGAAGCGTGTAGCCCTGGCTGTTACCAGAGATGATGAGGGAGGTTGTGCTCATAGCATTAAGTCACATTAAATCATAGCATGAGATGCCTTCCCGAGCTACATCAGGAGGCTCATGATGTTACCTTGCTGACAGACAGCTCCTCTCTGGCTCTGGGTTATCAGATTCAACCAGATACTACTTGATTTAAAACAAAACTATAGAGAAGCAGAAGGTAAGGGACAAAGTTCTATGGTTTATCAGTACATCTGATGAACATTTATCTGCCACAGCCAGTTTGGGGAAGTGGCCCAATGTCACTAAGATCTAACCCTTTCAACCATGGCTGCTACTGCTGATGCCAGGGTAACAGATAAAATACTTTAAAAAAAGAGAGAGAGAGAGAGAGAAGTATGTCTCATGAAATATTATATTTGGGATATAGTTATACTAAAAAATTACTCATAGTTTACCTGAAAGTCAAATCGAACGGTGTATCTTAACTTTTCATTTGCTACATCAGGCAACTCTACCCTGAGGGTAACAGAGACACAATCAGGTCACTGTGTGTCTTCCCAGATTCACAAACGACTGGGTCCAAAATCAGGGGCAAACCCAGGTTTCAATAGAATCTGAGACTATATCATTAATTTGAGATAACTCTTTAAGAATAAGAATACAAAATTACAGATGCTAAATTAGATGGGAACATGAATCTTTATTTAGATCAAAAATAATATTTACAAGTTGTATAGAAACATGTAAACCCTCTCATAATAAGTTCACCAATGACCAATATGCTTAACGATGATGATGATGATGATGATGATGGCAAGAGTTGCCTAAGGGAAAACTCTCCATGATAATAATCAAAGCAGATTTCAGGAAAATAAAAAAAGGGAGGGGGGAGGGCGAAACCCAGTATCACAACAGTCCTCAAGATATCTTTTAATCATGATTTTCAAAAGTTTTAAACTTACTTTTTCGTAACAAAGCCATGTATGTTCATGTGGATAAAAACTGTGACCTGTGGATTAAGAACAAAGTTTTGTTTAAAATAGAATCCTCTCTCCCTATAATTCAAAAAAAAAAAAAAAAAAAAAAAAAAAAAAAAAAAAAAAAAAAGAAGCAGTGAGCATTAAGAAAGGCATAGGACAGATGGGCAGCTTTGATGAAAAAAATGACGTTAACCAATTAGAAAAGAATTTTACATTATAAAATTCATTTTAGTTGATGAATCTAAAATCAAACTTTGTCACATTTAATATGTTCATTCCTTTCTTTGTGACATTTTGCCAAGCATCCAAGGAGCTGGAAACGGACTTCCTTTATGTTAAGAGGAAAAAAAGTTAATTTGCTACAAATAACAATTTGTCTTGCAAATTCAAAGTTTATTTTAAATTAAGTTGATTCTTCTATTTTTTAAATATATATTTTATTGATTGTTTAGAGTAGGGGTGTCGAACACAAGGCCCGCGGGCCAAATCCGTCCCGCCAGGCCTTGCAATGTGGCCCGCACCGCGCTGTCATCACTGCACTCCGCTGCGTTTCCATCACAATGACAGTTTATGACTGTTCAGTAAACCATTCAGCCCGCGATTTAGGCTGGATTTTAGATTTTGGCCCCTTCTCTGATTGAGTTCGACACCCCTAGTTTAGAGAGAGGAAAGGAGAAGGATAGAGAGTTAGAAACATTAATGAGAGAGAGAAACATAGACCAGCTGCCTCCTGCACACCCCCCACTGGGAATGTGTCCGCAACCAAGGTACATGCCCTTGACTGGAATCGAACTTGGGACCCTTGAGTCCACAGGCTGACGCTCTATCCACTGAGCCAAACCAGCTAGGACAAGTTGATTCTTTTTAATGAAGGTCCTTCAGAGGAACATCTGAGCTTGACGTTGGAGAGGAGGCAGCAGTCAGCACCCGGGAAATAATACCTTTCGGAATTAGCGATGTGACAAAGACAGCCTGCAGGGACTCCAACACAATAGGCGGATGTCACAGCACCCCAGGATGTCCTCCTCAACCGGAGTGTGGGGAGAACTCCTCGGAAGTGATCCAGGCCAGTGGTCGGCAAACTCATCAGTCAGCAGAGCCAAATATCAACAGCACAACGATCGAAATTTCTTTAGAGAGCCAAATTTTTTAAAACTTAAACTTCTTCTAATGCTACTTCTCCAAAATAGACTCTCCCAGGCCATGGTATTTTTGTGGAAGAGCCACACTCAAGGGGCCAAAGAACCGCATGTGGCTCGAGAGCCACGGTTTGCCGACCACAGATCTAGGGGAAACTTCAAATGGGGCTTTGACTCAGGTGCTTAACTCAGTGTCAACAACCAGCTACAATGTCCCTTTTCTTCCTTTTCCCAGGAGACAGGCTGCAGAGGCCGGGCACCCGGAGCTAACACGGAATGCCTTGGCAGTGACCTTGGCCCCTCTTGCACCTGGGAAAGAATCGAGCCCACACAGTAATTTACTAGGATTCTTCTGAGGTTGGTTGCAGGTGCTTATAGTCCATTGATGGTTTTAGATGACATGCATTTAGCTAACTTTAGGAGATAATATAAGCCTAGATGGTCATTGGCCACATGATAAACTCCTCACCCCACTCCCCAGCCCCCATCCATGAAGGAAGGCCATCTACTTCCAAAGGAGAGAATTGAGGGTGAGGGAGTGCGGGGAGGGGAGACAGACCAGAAAGATCTCAGCTCCGAGTCGCTGAGGTCAGTTCCCCCCTGGGTGAGCCAGCTAGCTGAGCCAATAAAATCCCCTTTTTTTCCTTTAAACCGCTTTGAAATGAGGCTCAGTGTCTTGCAACTAAAAATCCTTACAAATGTATTCCCTGTGGCCAGAAAGGGGTGCCCACATAGGGAGCTGTTTGAGGAGCCAACTTCTACTACTACAGTGGCTACCTACCGTTTACTGAAAGCTTCATTTGTACCCAGCTCTATACTGACCATCTAGGCCAGTGGTCGGCAAACTCATTAGCCAACAGAGCCAACTATCAACAGGACAGCGATTGAAATGTCTTTTGAGAGCCAAAAACCGACTTCTGCGCATGGCCACAAAGCTTCAATCGCACTGTATGCGGAAGAGCCACACGCAAGGGGCCAAACAGCCCCAGGTGGCTCGCGAGCTGCCGTTTGCCGACCTCTGATCTAGGCACATACTCTCCTTTCATTCTTTCCCCCCCCCTTCTTTATTATTTTTTATTTTATTTATTTATTTATTTTACTATATTTTATTGATTTTTTTACAGAGAGGAAGGGAGAGAGATAGAGAGCTAGAAACGTCGATGAGAGAGAAACATCGACCAGCTGCCTCTTGCACACCCCCTACTGGGGATGTGCCTGCAATCAATGGACATGCCCTTGGCCAGAATTGAACCTGGGACCTTTCAGTCCGCAGACCGATGTTCTACCACTGAGCCAAACCGGTTTCGGCCCCCCTTCCTTATTGATTAAGGTATTACATATGTGTCCTTATCCCGCCATTGCCCCCTCCCCACTTGCTCATGCGCTCACCCACCTGGTGTCTGTGTTCATTGGTTAGGCTTATATGCATGAGTACAAGTCCTTTGGCTGATCTCTCCCCTTTACCCCCACCCTCCTCTAACCTCTAATTCTTACACCTTTCAGGTGGATATATTGCTATTCCCAAGTTTCAAATGAGAAAATGGTGGCTCAGAGAGGTTCAGCGACTTGCTCAAAATCACACAGCTAGCAAAGGGCAGAGCAGGGGTTTGAGAGGAAGGGATCTCCGACTTCAGAGCTGATGCTCTTTAACCACAGGTGCTGGGGCTCTTGAAAGACTATTGTGGCGACCCCAGGGAGCCGGCGAGTTGCCATAACAGTTGCCACTGCATGGTGCAAATCAAGCTGTGCCCTCACAGGCCAGGTTGGTCTGCTTGAGCCCACCCCCACCCCGAGTGCCCGGTTACTCTAACGACTGAGATTACGCCAGAATCACAGAAATCATAAGTGTTGACTCATCTGAGGAGTGTGTGTAGGGGGGAGGGGGAGCAGGGAGGCGGGCATTGCTCCCCTGTCTAGCACGTTGCCAAGTCTAAAATCTCCTTATGACAAAACAAGAGGCTTCTGGGAACAGACTGGCACATTTCATTGCAAGGCGCAGCAGGAGTGAGGGAAATTCCTGAGCACATTCTTGGAGAAACCAAAGCCACTTTCAGAGAGAAGTCCTGGAGAAGTGTGTGCTTTGAAAAGAAAGCTGGGCTTATTTAATTTTTAAAAGTACGGAGCTGTGCACAGACTCCCCTCCCCCTTCCCCACGCCATCGCGTCTGTGACCGCGTGCCTGCTGCTGAAGCGGCTGTCCGTGGGTGTTCCTCAGACTTGCAGTCAAAGGCACTTTAATTGATTTAGTCGGTGCTCCGGGAATGCCTGCAGCTCCTCGATCACGTGGATTTGGCAGAGGGATCAGAGTGGTAAGGAGATAGAAAACTGATGGAGGAAGTTAGGGACAAGAGCTGGCGGGACCAGCCACGGGACGAGAAAAAGGGGCAAGAGAAACGGGGGGATGTCGAGGGCAGAGACTGGGAGAGGATCCTCTGGGTTAACACGGTCCCATGGGCAGAAACGCACCCGAGGACTCATTCCCATAGCAGAGGCCTGGGTGCACGGGAGGTCCCTCCTCCTTCCCACACTTCCTGTGGGACTCCACACCGAGGCCTCCCCATCTCTCTCAGAGTACCAGCAAAAGTCCTCCACGGGCCTAGAGAACCTCACTTGATCCAACTGGCCTCCTTGCCAGACGTCCTCCTGCCTCTGAGCCTTTACACTTGCTGTCCCTCCCCCACCTGACATGCTGTTCCCTCCATCTGGAACACTACTCCCAGATACCCACGTGGCTCACGCCCTCACTTCCCTGGGACTCAGTCAGCAGCCCCTACCCCCGGCAACGCATGTATCATATCTCGGCAATCGCCACCATCCAATGTGCTCCCATTTCACTGCTGGCTTATGGTCCGCCCTCCCAATGACGGATTACAGGCTCCATGAAGGCAGGGGATTTTTATCTGTTTTGTTCATTGCTATTTGCCCAGTACAAGTGCATGGCAGTATCATCCCTCATGTACACATATAATACCTTAATAAATAAAAAAAAACACCAATAGATAAAAAAAACAAAAAACAAACAAACAAAACTATTTGCAGACGGAAGGGGTGCATGCAGCTCTCCTCGGGGACGGTGCGCAGGCACCCCACACCTCCTGTGTTCACAGCACTCCCTCCTCTGGGGTCCTCCAAGCATCCTCTTCAACGTCTCCCTTCTAATCCCTCACTCAGTCACTGATTCCTACAATTTCACTCCTAATTGTTCTTTTTTTTAAAAATATATATTTTATTGATTTTTTTTTTTTTTTTTTTTTTGCAGAGAGGAAGGGAGAGAGACAGATAGCTAGAAACATCGAGCAGCTGCCTCCTGCACACTGGGGATGTGCCTGCAACCAAGGCATACAGCCGAATCTGGGACCTTTTACTCCACAGGCCTGCAACCAAGACAAAAGCCCTTGATCAGATTCGAACCACGGACCTTTTAGTCCGCAGATCAACGCTCTATCCACTGAGCCAAACCGGTTAGGGCTCCTCAGTGTTCTTTAAACCCATCTCCTGTCTCATCTCTCACGCTGGCTGCCTCCTCTCACTCACTCACTGACTCTGCAGTGACTTCCCACCTGGCCTTCCTGCCTCAAGGATGTCTGCGGCCGTTCCTTCCTCAATCTCTCACTAGCACCACTGTGACAATTTTGTCATTTGATAATTACATTAAATTAATTTGAAACATACATATCGTTTGCGTACTTTTCATTTTTTTTGTTCAATTTTTCTTGTCACTTGAAACCTTTCAAGTCTATCAGAAAGTTGAAAGACTGAATTCCTGTCCACGCTGTGCCAGATTCTTCATTTGCTAACATGTTGCTGTATTTGCTTTATTTCTCTCCTCCCCCATACATGACATCATGACACTTCGGCTCCTAATACTTCAGCGTGCAACTCTTAAGAACAAGGACATTCCCCTACAGAACCACAATGTCACAATCACCCCTAGGAAAACAGCACGAATTTAATCACATCTAGGAAGCAGGTGTTATTAAATGTCTCCCATTGTTCCAATATCCTATTTTATAATTTGGTTGTCATATCAAACTATATGACACTTAGTCAACCCCGCCCCACCCACACTGCCTTTTTATTTGGTTACTAGAGGCCCAGTGCACAAAATTTGTGCAGGGGGGTGGGTGTCCCTCAGCCTGGCCTGCACCCTCTCACCATCTGGGACCCCTCGGACACCCCTCTCTCTGGAGCGGGTTTTGTGCGTGTGTAAACTTTCAAGATGCAAGTCCGCAGAGCTGAGTGAAATCCCGGAGCCTGTCAGCTGCTTGGCGCATAATGGTAACAATGAGCAATGGAAAGTGGCGGCTGGTAGGAGCTGTTAAGATGGTGAAGAATGTGCACTCGGAGCCAGACCGCCTGCCGGTGGGTCCCGGACGGGCCACTCATTAGTGACGTCACCCTTGGCAAGTACCTCAGCCTCCCTGGTCTTCAGTTTCCTCCCTCGAAAACGGCGGGTGACAGACAGCCTTCCAGGGCTGTTGTGTGAATCGATGGAAGTAATGTTTATAAAGGTGTTAGAACCGCGCCTGGCATATAAAACTACTGAGTGTTACCTATCGTTCTAGGTTACTTAACTTAATAGGCAGAGCAAGCGAGCTACAGACTCCCGCACAGGACAAGAGCACGGGTGCCCCTGGAGAGAGAGAAGGCAGGAAGGAATCAGGACCCAGGAATTCGGCTTCCAGCAAAACACGCCGGCCTTTTTCCTTTCTTTCCTTCCTTCCTTCCTTCCTTCCTTCCTTCCTTCCTTCCTTCCTTCCTTCCTTCCTTCCTTCCTTTCTTCCTTTTTTAAAAATACATGTTATTGATTTTTTACAGAGAGGAAGAGAGAGGGATAGAGAGTTAGAAACATCGATGAGAGAGAATCATCGATCAGCTGTCTCTTGCACACCCCCCACTGGGGATGTCCCCACAACCAAGATACATGCCCTTGACCGGAATCGAATCCAGGACCTTTCAGTCTGCAGGCTGACGCTCTATCCACTGAGCCAAACCGGTTTCGGCCGGCCTTTTCGACTGTAGTATGGAAGGTTTACTCAAGATCCACCATACCTGCAGGACAGGGAGGCCAGGTGAGAGAGTCCTCAGCATGTGGAGAACCCGTCCTGCCCTCTCCTGTGTGGGAAGGAGGCGTTCTTTTTAAAAATATATATATATATTTTATTGATTTTTACAGAGAGGGAGAGAGAGTTAGAAACATCTATGAGAGAGAAACATCGATCAGCTGCCTCCTGCACACCTCCTATTCAGGATGTGTCCGCAACCGAGGTACATGCCCTTGACCGGAATCGAACCTGGGACTTTTCAGTCTACAGGCCAATGCTCTATCCACTGAGCCAAACCGGTTGCAGTAGTCGGCAAACTTGTTAGTCAACAGAGCCAAATATCAACAGTACAACTATTGAAATGTCTTTTGAGAGCCAAATTTTTTAAACTTAAACTTCTTCTAATGCCACTTCTTCAAAATAGACTCTTCCAGTCTGTGGTATTTTGTGGAAGAGCCACACTCAAGGGGCCAAAGAGTCGCATGTGGCTCACAAGCCTCAGTTTGCTGACCACGGGGATAGTGCAAGGAGGCGTTCTTTCTCAAAATGGCTGTAGATCAGTTATCAACAACCGCACCCCTGGGCCCAACCCTGCCCAGCACTGGTTTCTGTAAATAAAGTTTTGTTGGGACATAGCTGCGTCTATTCTTTGACATTCTGTCTATGGCTGTTTTCACCTGAGAACAGCAGATCTGAGTAGTTGCAAGGGAGACCACATGGCCTGTAAAATCGCCCACTGGCCCTTGGCAGAAAACGTTGGCTGGTCCCTGCTTTCCCATTTTGGCCAGATTTTCTAGATCTCAATAAGGCGCACGTAATCCATCTGAGGTCCTTGACCAGGGGCGGAAGAACAAGCTGTCCCCTCAGGTACTCACCAGGGAAGGTAAGAAGTAAAATGTCCACAAGAAAATCCGAAATGAAAACAGACGTGGCCGGGATAGGCTATGGCAGAGTGCTCCAAGAAATGTTAATCGGGGTTATGTGAAAGCATGATTCAGGGGTCAACGTAAATCACTTTAAGCAGATTTCTCTACTGCATGACTCTTGTGACCTTCAAAATGCCATTATACCTGGAGATTTTGGAGAGGGTGCTGTGGTTCACAAAGCTCACTGTCCCCATGGGGCTTCCTTCTTCTGAACATCCCTTGGCAAATGCTGAACTAAAAGAAGTCCTTAGAATCATGCTCTCTGGGGACTAGAAATGACAACTCTGAGTGCTATAGCTTAATGAGCATGACTTCCTCTCAGCAGGGAAAGAGGGAGAATAAAGGAGAAATCAGAGACCCAGAGTGGGAAAAAAGCAAAGAGGTGTTTGAAGAAGGCCCTGGAGGGACACCTGAGGGTGGGACGGACAGGTGGATGACTTGACCAGAAAGAAGGATGTACCAAAAGCATGGCGGCTGCCCAGTGCAGAATGAAGGGTCCCTTGTCATCATCATCACCACCATCGTCATCAGCATCACCAGAGAAGCAAACCTTCTCTGTGGCCTCTCCTCGCTACTCTACAGATTCTTTATTTTATCTTATTCTTAAATATATTTCATTGAATTTAGAGAGGAAGGGAGGAGAGAGATAGAAACATCAATGATGAGAGAGAATCATTGGTTGGCTGCCTCCTGCACGCCCCCAATTGGGAATCAAGCCCGCAACCCAGGCATGTACCCTTGGCTGGAATCGAACGTGGGACTCGTCAGTCCGCAGGCTGACGCTCTATCCATTGAGCCAAACCAGCTAGGGCTCTACAGATTCTTTAAACATATGATGCATTGGGGTCCATCCCATTTTACAGATGAGGAAACAGAGTCGCAGACAAGTTAATTCCCCCAGAGTCGGAGATTATAAAACTTCTAGGTGGCAGTGCATAGATTCAACTCTGGGAGTCTGAACCCTGAACCCACGTTCTCACCACTGCACCACACTGCTCTGCTTCTAAGTGCATTAGACAGAGGGCTGGGATTTCATTACAGAAAGGATACTGTTTAGAAATGCAGCACCAACGCTTTGGAGGAAAAGACAAAACAAACCAACCAATGTCACTGCACCAGGCCAAACAGCTAGAGTACGGCTCCCCCCACCCCACCCCCACAAAAACAAACAGCCAGATGTTTATATATCATCATGTTCTCACTCTCTTCCCTCTTCTATTAAGTATCCTTATGTTGTGTATCAGGCTTATCTAATACGTTACGCTGGCTCATAAAGCGGAAACAAGAAAACATTTTTTGGAAGTTAAAAAGCATTTTTCAACTTGAACCCCGACTAAGCCCTTGTCCTGTTCGCGACGCCGCCTTTACAATGAGCTTCCTTTATATTTCCACAACTGCCGCTCCTGTGGTGGGGGCAGGGGGCTGGGGACCTCAGAGCAGCTTCCTGGGACAGATTCCGAAAACACGAATCCCAGATCAATGACATCTTTTGTGGCTCAGAACCGTATCTGCACTGAATGCGAGACTAGCATTCGTCTGTGTCCCGGCTAACCGCGGATTTCCGTGTTTAAAATACGACGCAAACAGTAAATCGCAGTGTTTTGGGGTGGGTGGGGATAAACCGGGTCAGGAAACGCAGTCCAGGTGGTGATTCTCAACTTGCACATGGAGTGTCCTGGATTTGCTACTACGGCAAAAACAAGACAAAAACAAAACCTGCAAAACAAAAAAAACAAAAAACAAAACACACACACACACACACACACACACACACACACACACACACCAAAAACCCTCCTAAACAACACCCCAAAAAAAGAAAAAGAAAAGTTCCGTTGGAATGCTACAAACATTGGCTGGGGCTCCAGAAGGCAAAGCTTGGGTGGGCCAACCTACCTCTGATTTCCTTTCTTGCATCTACAGCAAAATAAAGGACTGGGGCAGGGAGAGACGGAAGAGCTTGTAAAGTTCTGTTTACCTGGTGACTGGCGAGGGCAGGGCTTTGGGCTGCCGGGTCCAGAAGAGCTGCAGGGCTGAGCGTTCCACTAGCGGCTGGCCCTGGGCTGCTGCCCTCTGCTGCCGCCGCTGCTGCTTCTAAGGTCCCATTGGAAAGCCCCAGGGGCCGGAGAGTCCAAGGCCAATGTTTGTTTCCAAGACAGTGTTCCTCCCCGGCTCGCACCTCCCTTCGCTTGCTGTGACTCTGCAGCAGCTCCAGTGTCTCCACCCCTGGGCGAAGCAGCTGGGGAGCCAGGCGTTGCGCTGGCGGCCCCTGAAACCACTTCCAGATGTGCTGGCCGGCCGGCCAGCTGGGATGGGCCTGCCTTCTTCCCCTGGAATCCCGGCCGGGGAGTCTGCGTACTTTTCCAAAACAGGGCTGCTCTGGAGGGAAGGACGAGAGACCGAGCAAAAGCAGATGCTCGGAGGATGGATTTCCACCACGAGTTGGGTCCACTGTGAACTTTCCAGCAGAAGAGGAAAATGAAGTTCACGATGACTTTAAGAATATCTTTATAGGCACTAGCTTTTCCTGAAACCTAGTGACTAAAATGCCGTTGTCCCCCTTTCTCCCCAAAGCAGCCAGAGGTGACCTCTGAACATGGTTCTATTCACTGGACCCAGAAAACTCCACAACATCATGCAAATAAGAGGCTCAAATCTTCGTGTCCACTTTAAGAATGCTTGTGAAACTGCCCAAGCCATCAAGGGTATGCATATTCAAAAAGACACCAAGTATCTGAAGGATGTCCCTTTATAGAAGTAACTAGAGGCCCAGTATACAAATTCGTGCATGGGTAGGGCCCCTCTGGGTGGCCTGCAGGGATTGGCCGAAACCTGCAGTCCAACACCGCCTGCAGCTCCTACCAGCACCACTTACCAGCCATGAGCCCTGTGTCTGGAGCCCTCCCAAGGGGAGTGCCCTGCAGGATGGGGCTGAAACCAGCTCTCTGACATCCCCTGAGGGGTCTGGGATTGCAAAAGAGCACAGGCCAAGCTGAGGGACCCCACTGGTGCATGATCGAGCTGGGTAGGGGCCACAGGAAGGCTCTAAGGCATGTCCAGCCCATCTTGTTCAGTTCCGATCGGCTGGACCCCAGCAGCAAACTAACATACCGGTCAGAGCATCTGCCCCTTGGTGGTCAGTGCTTGTCATAGCGACTGGTCGACCAGTGGACTATCTGCCCACTGGCAGTCAGTGCAGCAAGTAGTTGAGCAGCCTTAGCATATCGCTAGCATATTACACTTTGATTGGTTGTTCAGTTGTTCTGCCGTTCAGTCTATTTGCATATTACCCTTTTATCATATAGGATGTGTGCCATTCCGTCGTTACAATGGTGGAGTTGATAGTTGATCCCAACAGTGGGACTGGACTCTGAATTTTTGCTGCACATGCTTAAAAAATGCAGAGAGTAATGCTGACCTAAAGGGTTTAGATGTAGACTCTCTGGTCACTGAGCACCTTCAGATGAACAAAGCTCCCAAGATGCGGCATGGAATGTACAGAGCTCACAGGCTGATTAACCCACACACCAGCTCTCACTGCCACATGACCTCTCACCGAAAAACGGGGGCTTGTTCCTAAATGGGAAGAGAGGTTGCACAGAAGTAAAAGATATCCCAGAAGGAACTGAAGAAACAAAAAGTATGGCCTGGGAGTAAATTCAGCACACAAAAATACTAATGAAAGTAAAAAAATAATAACAATAAAAATAAAAGCCGTTGTCCCCAAACCAAAGCCCAGATAACAACTGTGGTCTCCTTCTACCAAGGCAATGATAAAGGACAGACATCCTAGGGAGGTGTGTTTTGTGCCTGAACATGGAAAGGAATCAACTCTGCCCGTGCTGCGCTGTTCTGAGTTTCCGTCTCCGATCCTCAGAATCCCAGGCAATGGTGCCAGCAGTTTGCCTGGGATCGTGGACCTTAGGACTTCGTTTCTGCAACAATGGCCTCTCCCCCTCATTCCTGTAAGGAAAGAGGACCCACCCCTCACGCCTCCTTCTGCAGGGGTGCTGCTGGAGAGAATGATGAAAGTCACACTGTAATTTTAAATGTCCTAGTGGTCACCTTAGGAAATTTACAAAGAGGGAAAATTAATTTTAACCATTTATTTCATTTACCCCAATATTTACAAAATAGTATTTCAACTCGTAATCAGTAGAAAACATTATAAACCACACATTTTATGCTTTGGGGGTACTAGGTATTTAAATCTGGTGTATACTTTACACTGGTAGCACCCCTCAGTTTAAACACTAAATTCCATCAGAAGCAATTAATTTCATAAAATGAACAGTTTAAAAAGCATAGAGGGGATAAATGGTGGTTAAATAAATAAATAATAATAATAAAAGTAAATTCACATACCCAAGTTGTTCCAATCATTAAAAAAATAATTTTCCCTCCAATAACTGAATGAAGTATCTTTTTTTTTTCAATTTCAATGAATTAAGACTCAGTAAAATTTTAAATTCAGTTCCTCAGTTGCACTAGTCACATTTTAAGAAAAATTCATAGTTAATGTGGGTAATGGCTACTGTACAGTAATTATAAGAAAAATAATAATTATATGATGGATGTTTTTTTTCTCTCCAGATTTGAACTTGAAAAGTGGGAATATCCTGAATTCGTACAGAGCTTTTACATGGGCAAAGTGTTTTCATATCTTCTACTTTATTCTCACAACATTCCTGCTCAGAAAGTTGAGCAGATGAGTTTTGCCCCAATTTGCAGATGAGCAAACTGAAGCAGATGAACAAGTGAACTCCAAGTTCCCAAAGCAAATTAGTGAGGAAGCCAGGACTGGAATTCCTGTTCAGCATTTCCCCACTGTTTCTTACTTGAGGCATATTTCAGATCCTGGAGTTTCTGACAGCACCTGCAGAGTGAAACTGCATCCACAGTGACTGCATTCTTCATTGGTTTTCCTGCAGCATCAGGTCACTGCTTGCACAGAATTATTGTCTGTCCTGGCGGTGTTCCCTTTTGTGTCCTCATCCCAAAGCCCTCCTACAATCCAGCTTGACATTATGGACCTGGCTTGACATTATGTTAGTCCTCTTCTTTCTTGATAGATAACACTCAGCAGTTTTAATTACTACATAACTAATTAGTTTTAACTAATACATAACATAAATTAATATAATTAATATACTTTCAGCAAGGTGTATATTTTTTAATCCTCTAACTTTTTATTGATTTTAGAGAGAGGGATAGGGGGAAGAGAGAGAGAGAGAGAGAGAGAGAGAGAGAGAGAGAGAGAGAGAGAGAGAGAGAGCGCCACATCAATGTGAGATAGAAACATCAATCGGTTGCCATTGACTCCCATATGTACCCCAAACCAGGTATCAAATCTGCAACCTGGGTATGTGCCCTCCATGGGAATAGAATCCAGGACTTTTTGGTGTATGGGACTATGCTCCCACCAATCAAACCACACTGGCCAGGGAGGTGTACTCTGTTTTAAACCACAACGACATGGTTGTAAGATATTTATCTCTAGTTGTGGCAAAAGCATTTTTATACATTTGTGGCAAAAGCATTTTTATACATTGATCCTGTGGGAAGTCAGAAGGGTTCTGTGGCAGCACCGGGTACTGTGCACTAAGTACTCTTGTTCCAGCCCTCACTGCATCCACAGGAGCAAAAAATAGCAAAATAGCCCAGGGCTTGTCACCGCTCTTCCAAAATTGTCTCTCCAACACTCCAAGCGACCTTCTGACATTCCTGTTTCCTCCAAGGATCGAGGATTGTGCTTTCTCCTGTGTCTCTCTCATCCACTTGGCAGGATGCCTGACCCAGGGGAAGAGCTCCTGAATAAATGGGTTCAGAGAGGAGGACAACCAAAGCACTCAAGAGTGGGACTCGGAACTGGAATAATAATTATGGTTTTTGTAGACCCTGCTTGCTATTCACATGAACTTCCGTGTGGACCCACATCTCTCTGGTCATTGATTGTTTTACACTTTCTCGCTGACCTCCTGCCATCTCCAGCTTCAGATTCTCCCTCCTTTATTCCTGCTGGGCAATGTCCTGAGGATGCAAGAGGCATATTATCCACGACCTAGATTTCTACACTGTATGTACATATTCTTCCCTGGGGAAGAAATGAGGACAGAGAGAGAACATGCGGGATGTAAGTGCAGTGGCTACCAGCATCGGCTCCGGAGGCAGACAGACGTAGGTGCCAGCCTAAGCCTTATACAGCTGTGTCACTAAAAATCCCACTTCAGTTTCTCATCTATAAGGTAGGGAAGCCTCATAGAACCTGCACAGGATCCTCGTAGGGTTAAAAGGCATCGCACATGTAAAACACTCATCAAGGACTCAATACCTGGAGGTTATTATTGTTGTCTGGAGAAACCCAAGGTATGAATAAGGGAAATGAAATGCAACTGTAACATATTCGGAACAATAACAACAACAAAAATCTGAGTGAGTCAGTTATAGGATGCTGCCAACACTGCTGATAGCCTACTTAACAACCTTCTCCGCTTCCTCCCTTCAAATAGAAACACTACTTTTTTTTAAAAAATGTTTTATTGATTTTTTACAGAGAGGAGGAGAGAGGGATAGAGAGTTAGAAACATCGATGAGAGAATCATTGATCAGCTGCCTCCTGCACACCCCATGCTGGGGATATGCCCTTGACCAGAATGAAACCTGGGACCTTTCAGTCCGCAGATCGATGCTCATCCATTGAGCCAAACCGGTTTCAGCAGAAACACTACCTTTTGGGGCAGGAGGTGCTGGTTAACAACAGTTGTCTCCTCAGACATCCTCAGCTAGCGTGGCCTGTGAGCAGAGCCTGCTGTCTGACTTCCTAGAAAGCTACGTTTTCCTGGCAGAGAGCAGTGTGGTACCTTGTGCCCTTTCTTTCTGTCTGAAATCTAACTCCCAGGCCTGGAGGGGAGCAGCATCTTGCAGCTCCGAGGACCGAGGTCCACGCTGGGCTGCTGCATATGGTCACAGCGGCTGTGCGCGGAGGCTGCCGTGTCGAGTCAGCGAGGGGCCTGGCAGGCCGCAGATGGCTCAATTCATAGGCCAGTGGTGGAGATTTTGAAAAAAAAAAGAAAAAGAAAAAAAAAAAGGCTATTTGAAGTGTGCAGTTGACGGCGTTAGGGAAATATGATTAAGAGATGGTTCAGTGGCCTGGGGTTAGAAAATGCAGGGGGCCAAAACTGGTTTGGCTCAGTGGATAGAGCGTCAGCCTGCGGACTGAAGGGTCCCAGGTTCGATTCCGGTCAAGGGCATGTACCTTGATTGCGGGCACATCCCCAGTAGGAGGTGTGCAAGGGGCAGCTGATTGATGATTCTCTCTCATTAATGTTTCTAA